TWWTWWKMCMMMKTTAATTGTAGACATAAATTCTGCTAATTGTGCAGCCTCTGCTGAGCTTTCAGCTCTAGAAAACTTAGTAAGTAACCATGAGAGAAAAATCTGAGGGAAAAGCCATTAATAAAATAGATATATAACTGACTTACACAGTGTGGAATAGCTGAAAGTTTGMAAAATAGTTTGAAACTGTCTTTCAGAATACTGGAAATTATTTCAAGGAATTGATGGTCTCAGAAAAAGAGGTGTATGTTTAGGTATCTGCTATTAGAATGACAAACAAAACTGTGTTAGACAAGATTCAAGCTTAATTATGGGACTGAGCCAAGCAAAAATCAAGATACCMGTTTGTTATTATATCTTTGTTAGCTCCTTGTAATTAAGATATTTTAGGTTCCAAAATGTCAACAGGTTCCTAAGAGTCAGTTGGGTGCAAATTTTGTTCATTGTAAATGCAGTTATTATATGTGCATATATGTATTTATAATTATATATATATAGATAATACTGGTAAATTGAAATGTCTATGCAGGTCCTCTGCATCAATTGGAATAAGAGTTCCAGACAGAGACAAAAGCCTGCACTGTTTTTAGGGGAAAGRACAAGCAAGAAGAAGAGAAGACGAAAGGCTTGAAATCAAGCATGAAAGAAACTGAAGTATATCAGACACCGTATTTTTGCATTGGAGTTGAACTAAAWTTTTTTAAGAGACATAGATCTTGTTGGAAATCTCAATACTAAATCTGGAGCTGAGTAGGAAGAAACATTTTCCATTTTGCAGGAAGTTGAATTGTTTTGTTGTTCCAAAAATGAAGAGGGGAGGAGGGGAGGTGGAAAGTAGCTGCATAATAAACTGGTGCAGAAGTGCAGTCTGTTTGGATCTTAGAAAAAGCTCCATTTTCATTTTATGTCAAGGATTTTATTCTGGTTTTTGGTGTATTTGTCTTATGAATCGTTCTAGGACATTAAAATGAAACATGTTGGTATTTTGAAAGGACCATGGATTTTTCTTCAGTTTAAGTTGATTTGTGAGTTGAGGTTTTCTTTAATTTACACTGATTTGTTTCAGTGAGTTATTGTTTCTCACTCTGCTTGAAAACAATCAATTTTAGTTATATAACTTGAGTGCAGATACTTATATCTGCTAGAGATGGCTCTGGTAAAGTAAACATTAATTTTTAGTTTCCATTTTTCAAGTGCATTTTCTCTCAGTTCCTAAGCTAAAGGAGATTTATKTATTTAGTTTGGCACTTTTGTTATTTCCTAAAGTGATTATTTATGTCTGTGTGYGTGTTGATCTTTCCTTGRACAGGAAAACAGAGTATGACWAGAGAGGGGGGATATGTCTTCGTTTCTGAGTGYGAGAGACATCATTGCAAAAGCATTTACAGTGATACGAAAACTAGCATTGGAAAGGCTGGTGGTGATTCTGAAGCTGAGATGATTCAACTGATRCAGTTAAAAAGGGATTTTGGCTTTCAGATTTGACTCTGGTGTAGMACAAAAATGCTCTGAAAGTATTACAGCAAGGAAGAGATTGTAAAAGGAYGTCTGATTATGTTGATTTTTTTTACCTAGTTGCTTAGTCCCGAGGAGAGATATAAGACAGAAGACAAARCACTGATTTTTAAAGCAGGGAAAAGAGGAACCAATCTGAATTGGATCAAGGTGTAGGGAAAGTGGGGCATGGTGTGGTTTTTCCATGTACTTTGCAAATATGCTCCCATCTTAAAAAAAACCAAACACAGAGAGGAAGGAGGATGCCAGTTTTGTGTTCTGATCAATGAGAGAGCAGACTTAGTGAAGGGAAATATGTAAACATAGTGTTTACATATATATCACTGTTTAAATTAGCATGGGTAAAGAAACTTCTAATTTGAAAGCTTCCTGTCACTTTCATATGGTGATCTGCTTTTTCCTTTCTTGTTTAGCATGTTGTCAAACGGAGAAGGTACTGCAGTTCTATTTAATAGTTAATCAGTGATTTATTTGATAAGTTACTTTTACTTCCTTTGAAGTTAGAACATCTTTTCTTACTCCTTTGCAGTTTTCCCTTAATGTCATAAGTGCTATATGACCATCTGTGACCTTTTTTTCCTGTTTTTGATATAGCTCATCCAGTTGATTTTGAGTCACCTTGCAGTACCAGACCTGTGTAGACTAGCACAAACTTGTAAGCTACTGTATCAACATTGCTGTGATCCTCTACAGTACATTCATCTCAGTTTACAACCTTACTGGGCGAGGATTAATGACACATCCCTGGAGTACCTACAGTCTCGCTGCACTCTCATCCAGTGGCTGAATTTATCTTGGACTGGAAACAGGGGAGCCATCTCTGTTTCTGGATTTAGCAGGTCAGTGTTCAATGTACAGAAATGTTTTGACAAGCTCTGTTTGCAGAGCTGCTACACGGTAGTTTCACCAAGTATTTGAAACTTTATTAAAAGGCAAGAAATGTCTTTGATTTACTATAAAGGGTGTGATTGTTATGACATAGAGAAAAGGAACAGCTAAAACAGTAAGAGATACTAAATATAGCAGCAGAAGTCCATTGCAATCTGTAGAGTCTGCATGTTCCAAACTGCTTGTGACTGAAAGGCTTCTTCCGGGGGGAGCAGTGTTTTGCTTTCTTCTGGGCTTCTAAAACACTGTGCTGGAACTGAGCTGTCAAAAATCCATCTCATAAGGAAAACGTTTGTGGTTGTTCTTTGTACAGATGAGTCATCAGTAGGACTGTATTAGGATGGCTGCAGTAATAAACTGATTGCATGCTCACATGGTATGAGCCAAGTAATCACTGGAGTCCAATGTAAATGCAAATATTTTCATAAAAGTGATTTAAAACATTAGCCCTGTTGGAAAACAGGGGGGTTGCGTGTGCATCTTCCAATGAGCTGAAAATATGACTGTGCTGTAGGTCATTAAAATAGCAAATTTGCAGGGATTCTTCTCTGTATAACAGCCATGTTCTCTGCTTTCTTAAGATATCATTTCTTGCTTCTTTGCTCATTTGCATTAGTTAAACAGCTTCTATCAATGCATTTCATTTAAGCAAAAGTTGCTGCTTCAACTAACGGGTAATCAGCAATGGCAGGTGAAAGCAGAAATTTACTGATAAGAAACAGAAATGTTTAATATATCTGAAAAAGTTGTCTAAACTCTCATTTGTTTTCTGAATAAAAAGGTTAAATCAAGTATGCAGACATTTTCTTTCCTTTTATCTTTCCTTCCTAAGTCCCTTACCTGAGGAAGTAAAATATTTTGAAGAAACACTTTATCAAAATGGGAACGTTGCTTCTGTTTTGTCAGAAAATAATTTTCAGACTCTCCAGTATAATGCAAGAAGTCTATGTTTTTTTTTGCTTATTGGTCGAAAAAGAAAATAGACATCAGCTAATTATTGAATGAAGTACAAAAATTTCTCCTAAATTTGGATTTCCTGTTAGATACATTATGCAGAGGATAAATATTCAAGTTTTAATTGAGAATTCAACTCTGAAATTATGAGGTGGCTTCTGATGCTTAGATATTAAGTCTGTCTTTTAAAAACTTAACGTATGTGCGTCTTTATGGCAACATTTTCATTTCCATTATTTTTTTTTTTTAGCATACAGTACTGCTAAAAATCTTTGTGGTCTTGGAAGAAATTAATGCCAAATTTAGAGGCTTATCAACTTTACAATTCTGCATTTCTGACTTTGAAAATGGCTCTATTGAGCCTCAATGCTGAACTACTAGTAACATTTATGTATATACAGTATTTTAAAATGATAAGTATTCATTATTTGACTGTTAATAATCTGTGAGTAAAAATGTTCTATTTATATTTGTTGTAAGAATTATATTTATTTGTAACAAAGGGGGAGAATGTTTTTTTGACATTGATGCAAATCTTAGTTTTAGGAAAAAGTATTTCCTGGAAGAGATGGATGCAATCTGGGAATGGGAAATGCAATTCAATTGTAAATTTTAGAAGCAAAGTTATAARCTAAATAATTTTCATGCCTAAACTGTGCTTATCATTTGCCCTTCTGAAACAAAAATTCTCCACTGTAACTAGGCCTGGTTTTAAACCCTTTTCTGTTACAGAAATAATTTTGCAGCACTTTGTTCTGTAAAAGTCTTTTCCAGTTAAGTCTCCCCAACACAAGTTTTTCTTTTCACAGTCTTTAGCAGTGTATTTGTCAAATTTGCTGTTCATTTGCTATGAAAGTATCTACTCAGAGGAGACTKACTAGAACAAGACTTGCTTTTCAATAGCATTAATCTAACTCTTGTTGAAAAAGGAGCTTCCTGGTAAGAGATAGTGTTCCTTGACAGAGAAATCTGTCAATAAATGCTTCAGTTCTATTGCCCTGGTTGTCATTAAGATACGGCCACCCTGGTGATATTACAGCATCCAGAACATATAATCATGAATTCACAGTATTTTTTCTTTTGTCCAAAACCAGGACACTACATTTTTGCAGTTTTCTCAGCATTTGGAGTTACAGTTGGTACTGTTGAATTCAAAACTGGTAGAGTTGGWTTAATTCTTATAGTTATATACTTTAAATTATGATTTCTGCAAGTCAGGGCATGTTTAAATGCTGCTCTTGCTTAAATCTTATTTTGGAAAATGTCTTTCAAAAATGTTTKTATCTGTTGTTTCTTACAAATGTCTTAAAAGTAGTAGCTTGTATGAATTTGTTATTTTAAAATATTCATGTATGYATGAAGTTATTGGAAATACTAAGAAATTATAGAAAATATATATGTAATGTATTTTAAAATGTATTAAAGTGAAAAAAATTAAGAGTAATTTTAAGAAATGTGACTGAAGCAAATACTGTATTATCATGAGAAGACAGAATGCTTCAGGCATATGAACATCCTGAGGCAAAGCTGAAGGTATTTTAACTTATTGATAACATCTACTCCTTAGGGCTAAAAATTACTATCATGAATTTTTCATTTCGGCATATAATATGAATTAACTAAACTTTACATTAGATTGAACTAAAAGTGTGCAAAAAAGTGAGAGGAGTGTCTGAGCAGTCTCGGGAGTCTGAAATGCAAAATGACAGGGAATGAGCAAAGATTTCACAGCAAGCATTACATAAGCAGCACTGCATTTCTCTTGGCTGCAGAGGTTTGGTGAATCTCTTCRTGCCAGGGGGGAATATCAGCGTGGGAGGGTAAGACCTAGATAGGAAGACTGAGGCAAGTTGGTTGGAGGTGWACTAAATATTGAGATGCTGAATAAATGCTCTGAGGTTTAAACAGCTCAAGGACAATGACAGTTTGAAAACAGAGTTCTGCATGCAGATTTCCTTGGATCACTGATAATGTCATTAACTTGTTTAAACTCTTTTGCTTTAARTATCTGAGCAATTAGGATTTTTATTTACGTCTGACATTTTATACTGTGAAAATGAATTAATAGTGTTTTATTTTGAGGTTAGTGATGCAGTATTTGCATGTCAAGCACATCCAGGAATATTTCTTTAGCAGTTTTGTTGTTTACGTTTAAAGGCTTTCATTGCCTTTAGWAGAAGTGTGTTTTGGCAATGTTTAATTTGGTGAGGTTTTGCTATAAGTCAAACTAGCAGGAAGGTCAGAGAAATTACTGAAATATGCRTCAAATAGTCACAGAAAATAGGAGTAATGTGTGACTTTCCAGGGGTTTTCAATTTAAAAATCAGGTCTGTCTCTTGCTTTAATTTCCAGACTAAATTTTTAGTAAAACTAGGGTTGACTGTAACTGAGAGTAAATTATAACATTTATTTTGCATGTTTTTCCTAGAGTAGTTTAGTCTGTGTTGGAAAAAGCGCAAGATCAGGTACTTCCTACTTACGTGCCATGTTCTAGGATTTGCTTACCGAAAAGGAGGTGTAATACATGCTAGAACATTAGAATACATGCTACAATTAGAATAGCTAGAGGAAGGGAAAGTAATTTAATTTTAAATTAAAAGTACMTTACAAAGTCTCACTTTCAAGCGTGAAGACTTGCATGTGCCAAAAGAACTAAAATGTGTGTCCAATTCAATTTGTCTAGCATGTGGTCTCACCATTCTCTGCTGCTCCTGGCCTTCATCTCCTTATCCGTGTGCCCTGAGAAATCACTCACACAAATGTTCAAGGATCCTGGTGACTTGCAAATCTGACATCCACCAGCACACACCTCTGTACCAGCCCTTGTGTTGCCATTTGTTCTTTCTTGTGCTTCTGCTCCTCTGTGTACCCAGTTTTTGTCCTCTCATACCAATCTTAACACTTTTATTACAGTTACCTGTGCTAAATGCTGCTGCTGTCATGTAACATGGCAGTCACAAAAGATAAAGCATCGCTGTGAATTTAAAAATATATGAATGTGTCTTAAGAAGGATATTAAAACGTAATTCCACAAACCGTCTTATTAAATGCAAAACATAATTGTAAGACAGGAAATCCTCTATGAGTTTGTGTTAATAATCTGATAGATAGAACTAAGAAAGATGCGACCTCAAGATCCTGGAAGTGAAATGAGGAAAAATAAAATCCAGGTGGATTATAACATTTTTCTTTTCTGCTGAAAGGCTCTGGAAACAGGAGACCTGAGTTGCTGGAGGGAGCATGTAGTTGGCTTGAAGCAAACTGAAATGCTTGTTTCTATGAAATACTGATTCTAGGAGGTTCATACCAAGGAAGGCTTTGCAAATGGGCAGTGTTAYATCTGTGAAGTAATGGAGGTAACATCCCTAACGTGTATACCAATATGAGGTAACACTGCAAGGGAGGGTGCTAAAAAAAAAATTTTGTCCAACCCTCTGTTGTTCACAAATGGAAGTTGCTTTCCTTTTCCACCCTCTCCCTTGGATACCAAATCCAAATATATGTCATTGAGTAGAAAATCAGTACTGAAGATTTTAATGGAAAAAAGATTTGGTAAAATCAGCACGATAGAAAACGGTTGTGTTAATTGTACTAAAGGAATATTAAAACAGGTAATTAATTGTGTTTAGGGAGGATGAATAGATGAAAGAAAACTGTGATTCCTGCTCCATGTTGAGTGTTCAGTAATTTCAAGCTGGGGAGTACAGAGTAAGTGAGGATCATTAAGCTAAGAGTGAAATGTAGGTTCTGGATCCAGTGCAGTTCCACCGGAAACCATTGGAGCAAATGTGATGTTTTCAGTCCCTGCATAAGCATATATTTAAATGTATTTTGAGAATTTTGTTTGGGAGGTCTTATATTCAGACATGAAGAGTACTATCTCTTGTACTTTAGATTTTAGTTTTGGATCATGAGCTATGCTTATGATTCAGACATGAAGTTTTGAAATTGTTAGTGGGCTAAGTTACCCTGTGATCATGATGGGTTTAACATCACAGTGAGCAAATATCATCCTGCCTGCTAATAGACATATTAGATGTTTCAGAAGAACTTCACTAGGACTTCTGAAAAACTGAAGGGGTTGAAAATAAGCAGCAGTTCTTGAGAGTAGGCAGAAGATGATGGAAATTAAGATTCCTTTTTTTAGGAATAAAAAAGATTAAGATTCCTTTTTTTAGGATAAAAGCAACAATCCCCTCCCTACTGCAAAAAAAAARRAAAAAAAACAACCCAGGCCCCAGTGCCTCTAAAAACCCAAAACTGAACAACTGAAAAGCCTCAAATAATGCTGTCTAGAGTGAGGATAAACTTCAAGGGCAAAGCCCAATCCAGTGTCTAGCAAAAGAAATGTATGTGTTCACGTTATTCTAGGTTGTTTAGTCATATTTTATCACAGACATGAAGGGATGAAGAGATATCACTTCAGAAATGGTGTGTATAAAATATTGATAATAAAAGCAAACTAAAGGGATGGATGACTGCAGAACAGAGGAGAGACTGAGAACAGGAASCAGTCAGTCCTCAGTGATTAAAGGAGAGATATGTGAAGATGTTTTGATTTGGGTAGAAGGTGCTTTTTTGGGTGTTGTWTGTTTTCAAATTAGCTAAATCAAGCCAGTCAGTCAGAGACTCTTTAAGTCTCAGAAGTGTGAAGACCATGCCACATTTGTTTTGAAAGCATGAGAACTTGTATTCCTCCTGCCATTTATCTCTACGTGGAGATCCACATAGAAAGATATTAGCAAAAACCYCTGTCCTGAGCAGTCTGGTTAATGCAAACAAAAATTGCAGTGTCCCCATCATTCAGAGAACAGTGCAGATTCCTCCCTCAGATTCCTCCTTCTGTTCCTGTTCCTCTTTCCTACATTCATGTCTGCTCATTCTTGTACCCTGCTCCATGTGAAACACGTCCTCRTGTCTCTGTTTCATGTCTCCTAAATAACCTTCTTCAAAAAGACAACAAAGCTGTGAAGAGCAATGCTTGTTGCTGTCACTGTGTTTGCTCTCTGCCTGTGTGTTTCAAGTGTAATGAGTTTAAATAAAATGTTATGAGGGTAATAACTCCTCAAGCTGGTGAGCCTGGAGTTCTTCTCCAAGTCTAGGGGGTTAACTGAGTGTTTACCTGACCTGGTAATGTTAACTTCTAATAGTCYTAGCAAGAGAAAAGCATTGATCTCAAATAACATTTATAACAGCCAAGCCCTGTTAAATTATATGGCAGTTAAACTAACATCCATTATTGTAATGGAGTAATTCATAAAATATTTATTTGTTAGCAAATTAAAAGCTAGAGGTATAATAAGTGGTGACTGACAAAGTTTTATGGAAAATACCATCATTCAAACAAACCTGATAATTTGTTGATGAAAGAAGCTGTGTGAATGTATTGTTAAAGCACTCATTAAATAGAGGAATTGGCTAATTGGTAATCAGCAATGTATCCATATATCTCTACTCTGATTTCCAGGGGATTTCCATCCTGCATTTCTYCATAACAGTGTTGAACTCTATTGCTAATCTAAAATAGCACTTAAATGTTTAAATACCTGATGTTAATTGCTGTGAATTGTCGTGTCATTTCAGCTCTGACAGTCCCATAGGAAGGCTTACCAGTCTGTGTGAATTCCCTATCTCCAGTATGGAAACTGCTTGGTGTTTGATTAAACTCTGATTTTAAAAGCCAAAATAGATTCTGAATAGAGAACTGCAGATTTAAAAAAAAAAAAACAACAAACCAAAACAGTGGAGGAATAGACTTGAAGACCATACATGGGCAGAACTCCTGTGGCTCTGGGGCTTATGTCTCCCCTTTTGTGTCTCAGATCCTCTCTTTGTTTCTGTTTGCTTAGGCTCATAGAAATGTTGGATGTTAGGGACCTCTGAAGGTCGTCTACTCCARGCTCCCACTTGAAGTGCCAGTGTCCCCAACGCTAGATCAGGTCAGTCAAGGTTTCAGGTGACTCTTGGAAATATTTAGGGATGGAGATGCCATCCTGGAATCTCCTTTTCCCTCTGTATTACATAGGATCTGCATAATCACACTAAGGCCATGTAGTATGTAAGATGAAAGGAACAAAGAAAGGTGATGATGAATGGCAAGTGTGACTTGAGTGAGTAATGAAAAAATAAGGAAAAGAGGCATCTTGAAAGCTTGGATCTTGAAATATTGATTTCAAGTCCTGGGCTACTGTTGGTGTCATTGAGGAATGCCTCCCTGAAYGTGTCTTCTTAGACCAGCAGCAATTTCATCCTAAGCTTCAGCATGAGCAAATGCTTGGGAAGGCTAATGACTCTTTGATTGTAACAACAGGACTTTTTGTGCAAGCAGGAACCTTGTGTCTGTCTGGCATTTCTATTGTATCAGTAAAACCCAAGAAGTAATAATAACTTGTRATGAAAGTGTCAGAACCTGAAGCTGCTCTGTCTACATGAACGTTTTTGTAGGATAGAACTGGTAATAGAGCAGATCAGAATATTTATTATAAGAAACTAATTTATGCTCTTTCACAAGTAGCTCTGTTATTCTAGCAAGTAACATGGGAAACTCATTACAGCCCATAGTTAAAGGAACAAACTTTTCTACTGGAGAAACTAAGAAAATAAACCAAAAGCATGGCAAATATGTGGGGTTTTTATCCTAAGTATCAAGCTTGCAAKATTTGGAGGTTATCTTTGCAATGAAAAGGGACTAAACTTACGTGGTTTTGGTTAAAGCTTGGATTAGAGATAAAAGAGCTTGAGTTTCTGACACGAGATCCTTGTCAGGAAAGCATAATATAGAGACCATCAAAGTTTCTAAGTTTTGGGTCTTTTGTCATCTGATATTTTAATTTTTTATAATTCCAATGAAAGTCAAATATTCCTCAGGAATTTGTGTTTTAGAACAGCTAGCAAGTGGTTCTGACTTGTTAATAAAAGGAATGAAATTTTTTTTTCTGAAAGTCTTAAAAACTTCTGAATATTTAAAAGTACTTCTTTAAGTACTTTTAAAAGGATTTGTTTCACCTCATTTTTACATTTGCACATTTTTCTGAGGTAAATATGAAATTATTGGTGTAAACTTGCAGGCTGTTTTCAAAATTGGCTTTTGACTGTTTAAAAACATTTCAAACGTAATCAGTGTTTTACTTTGCTCCATTGTCTCAGAGTAAATATTAAAAACAAAGCATGTTCTAACTTCCTAAACTAAAACAGAATTTTCAAGATTAGTGTCTTTTCTTTGTTGAAAGGAATTATATCYTGGTTTACATGGTTATGGTTTTGACATTATTCAGACTCTCACTGAAAATATGTTAATTTTTCACTTTAAATGTGGGGTTCTTTTACAGGTTCTTGAAAGTCTGTGGCTCTGAACTAGTACGTCTTGAGTTRTCTTGTGGCCATTTCCTCAATGAAACATGCTTGGAGGTCATCACTGAAATGTGTCCAAATCTTCAGGAATTAAATCTCTCATCATGTGATAAAATACCACCTCAGGCTTTCAACCACATAGCCAAAGTGGGCAGCCTAAAGCGTCTCATTCTCTACAGAACGAAAGTGGAGGTAGGAACAAGTATTTTTAAACCCAAATATTTKTAATATTTAATATAAAATAAAATTAATAATTAAATATTTTATTTAGTTTGGGGTTTGTTTTTTTCAGTAATGAAGAAGTAAAGTAGACTTTTGAATGTAAATTCAGAAAAWCCAAAGGTAGTTCAGAAACCTTAGAGTAGTTTTTTACTTTCAAGATAGTTTTTGGTCTGCATGTTTTAACTTGAATGGTGAATTGGTGACTGTTCTCCAGCTGTTTTAAGCAGTGTGGTAAAATTACAAATTTGAAAGCTTTTTTTCTTATTTTGAAATTTATTTTAGGCGARCTGTATTTATCTAATATAATTGTAAAAATAACATGATTAGTAACCAATTCTCAAGCTTCTCTCCTGAAAAATGACTTGCTAATTTTGCTAGATTCCGGCAGTCTTTGTATATTAGCAGTATTTGAGACATAAGACACAAGGTTTTTATAAAACTTTCYATTTACAGTGTAAAAATTCCTTCTTTATGCAGTTACTTGTCTGCCCAAATCAGAGGTATAACTGCTTGCTGCAACACATTTCCTCTCTAAGATGGAATGGGTTTTTGTGCTGCAGCTAAGAGGTCTGTTGTAGTTTGCTACATTTTACAAATGTTGTATCCGTGTGAAKTCATTTGGAATCAGGAGATTTTCATTCCTTCTCAGTACTAAATTACACRCTGTTACAACCTTACTACTCTGCTTTACGTTGAAGCTGTCCTACCTTCGTGGTTGCAAAAGCTGCTCCACAATGGGGGCAAACCCCTGTCTCTGCAGGCTTTTTCCTAGCTTCTAATTCTACATTAACGATTTTAAGAAGAGTTTGGTTATGTGTGTTGCTTGTGCTTGTGCTTTTGGTACACAGAATTCAKTCTGTGACACTGGATTGTGGGGTCTTAGTCTGTAGTGTAATAAAAGGAATGAATCTGGAAGAGTAGGTTCTGGCAACTAGATGTGCAAGGGACATCTGAAATTAGACTACCATATTGCATTCATAAGCAATTCACACCTGAACTTGTGTTAGAGTCAGTTGGGTCTTGCTGTCCTTTATTTGGTGAATCCTAAGTATGTTTGTGCCCCAGGTCTAGCTAGGTGTCTGTGGTGGTGAGTGGGTAATGCAAAGTAGTTAGATTAAAGGGTATTTGGAATGTTTGGTGTTCACTGTGGGGTTTGCTGTGGAGCATGCAGGCAATCACTGTGAAATGAGTGCTCCTTAGTAAGTTGCTACTTTGTGGTAGCTGCTCTCTGTATTGAAGCAATTACTATTTTCTTYGAACCAAAAAGCAAATTGGTGAGCCCTTCATTTTTGGAATAGAGCTGAAATGATGCCTTGGGTATATCTGTTCTGTTTCTACATTAGTAGTCTTTCTGTTAATCCTGGATATATCTCATTAATTTCATTTTGAGTGTTGGCTCTAATTCACAAGGCTTTTTCAGATCCAGGAAAGAYCATTGTATCAGAGGTAATGGTTGTATAATTTTATTATTTAGCACTGCCGATTGATTAGARTCAGGTAACTTCTGAAGTTTGAGGCTTCATGCTTGTTGTAATAGTACAGTGGATGAGATGTACTCTGAAGTGATTGCTAACTGTCATTTGTCTGTGATCGCTTTGCTGAGSAGAGCTTGAAATTAGATTGAATGTAGGTGGTAAAGATTTCCTGACTTTGAAGCCCTAAAACTGTGAATATTCACTTCTGCCTTTCATGTGTATGGACATGCATCTGCTTGTAGCTGACAAGAACATTCATTCATRATCWAGTTTATGTAAGATTGTGSTTCCATTTTATAYGTAAGTRGGAACAAAAGGCACTGTTGGTAACAAATTGTGKAAGAGAAATTTCTGGAAATTTAAACAGGAAAATTGGAGAGGATGCTTGCATGTTACTTTTTAATATGAAGCCACTTAACAGTGTACATTGTGCATCACAGGTTGAAAAATGGAAAGAATGAAGRTGAGGCATAGGATTTGAGTGAGAGCATTGGAACTACAAAAGTCACAGATTTGTAGAATAACATTACCCTTTTCAACATTAGCTTCCTTTAGTGCAAATCTTTGGTTAGCTGTACAAAATAGGCTCTCATTCCTTCTGTACTTTTCAGAAAGTACAGAAATGCTTGTTAGTAAGCGGTGGCTATATGCAAAAAAGGATAGATTGATCAAGCATGCTGTGAAGTGATTGAGATTTCTCTAAAACTTGTCAAAGAGCTGTAAGGTTCTTGATTTTTGTGAAATTTCTACTGSTGTCTTCATTATTGGGGCTTCTAAGGAGCAAACAGAGGAACAATGCTAATGATTAATCAAGAGCTTGGCATTGTATTGTTGCCAACTGGATCTGCTCAGTGAAAAGAATCTGAGGCTGTGAATCCACTAAGAAAAAAATTGATAACTAATAACAAGAATGTGTTTATTACAAGAAAGGTGAGAACAGATATGATACAGTGCTTTGTTAAAGTTCTGTCTGAAAACCCAAGAAGAAACCAAAAAAAAATCTGTTCATTTCATTTAGCCTGTTTTCCTAAGTAATTTGGTGACTTGCTTTTTTTTTTCTTAAATGAACCATAAGCAAAATAAACCACAAAATTTTCACGTGTTAGAGCATATCTGGGTAAATAGTCCAACTTTTCCGTCTAGTTGTGGATTTGGACATGTGATTAAATAACATAGGATGAGATGAAGATTCTCCATCCTTTTTGTCAATACATGATAACACTRTTTCTGGTTTTGCATTATGCTTTGTAAAAAATAAAGAATGAAATTTTAATAAAAGAAATTATATTTCTCCCATATGCACTCCCAAGAACCTGCCCACATGCAAGATTTTCTTGTTCAGTCTAAGTTTTACTGTAGCCTTTCCTCTTACTTTTTTGCCTTTTAATACTAAAATAGAGGACAAAAGTTCTTCAGACATCTAAAGTGCTTGTTGTACTTTTGCCATGTAGATGATTACTCTGACACTAATAGATAAATTCTGAGAAAACACTGCAGAAAATTCACTGGTCTTCATGATTTTTGATTGAGAACAATGGAAACTCAGTAAAATTGATAACATGTTATGTTGTCTGAGCAATTATTGTTACAGTTTCTTCTTATTTTAGTGGTTTTCTTTGCATAGGTTTTACATTTTAAAATGTTGCTATTGTCTCTGTAATCAAAGCTCCAATTTTTAAGTGTATGTTTTTCATGCRATGGGTGATGCTAGTGTTTTGCTACTTAGTGCACTGCTGCTTTGCAAGATTGCTGTAACATCTGGAGGTGGTTGTGATCTTTGTGATCTRACCCTGCTGATTCTTAAGGCCATATATAACGCTATTTCCTTGGCATATTGAGTATGAGAGGTTGTGTGTATAAAATGTTTTCAAACATTGAATTGAAACCTCCAATGCCTTTTGAATTATTTCAACCTTTCTGACTGAAGAAGAAAAGTCCAGTGACTTTCAGTAACTTATCAATAACTAAAAAAAGTGTCCTACATGTCTGTACTCTTCCCCACAAAATGCAGCTCATTTTTTCCCATGCTCTAAGTTCATTATTAAAGGTTCTCAAAGGTTGTTTGATTATRTATGTGCTTGAATAATTTGTATCTTGCTTTGAGAAACTAATCTCAACATTTTACAAATGCAATTTCTGTGTGCTCAAGACCACTATTATACTGGTGTGATTTTGTGCTKGTGGTTTGGTATTTACTGATACATRACTCTGGGATGTTTATTCRTTGAGAGTGCATTCACAGCATAATTTAGGCACTTTGGCATTGATACATTTGAAGAATACAATGGACAGTGGAAGTATTCTTGTATACAGTAATTGCCAATGCACRGCTTTATCCTTGAGCATGAAAATTATTTTAATGCTTATTGTGAAGTATTCAGTCCATATACAATAATGCAGCCAAAACTGTATTTTAAAGAAACCAAAGCCATAATTACAGTACGAGACCTTGTCAGTCTTCTTATTGGTAGGCGTAAATTTTAATGTAAGATTATRTATTTCATGTTTCATGACATTCTGAAATCTTTCTAATGTGTAAAAAATTTTTTTTTGAAGTTTGTATTGCAATTATATTTGAGATACAAAATGAACTAAATTTAAACCAAATTACAATGGACAAAGGATTTTGTTTTTTACACCTTTTTACTCAAGTGTTGTATGTATAGATTTTATCTCTGATAATTTTGACCAAAAGCAAATTTGGAACTTGGGCAGCTATGAGAGAGGATACTGGAAATCCTGGATACCAAAAAAAAGCAGAAGAATTGTAGCAATAAATATAATGGCTCATATTTTYTTATGCCACAAGCAGTGTAAGAGTTGATGCTGCCATAAAATTGTTCTACAGAGTTTTTGGAAATTACCTGTTATAGGTCATGTCATTTTTKTGAGGGCTATTGTTTGAGGGTTTTCAGTTTGGACAAAAATCCATTGGCTTGAGTATGAATCTTTAGGATGAAGAGTTGCAAATAAATAGGGAGAAATAAAAAAGTGAAAGGCTCTAGCTGGAATGTGGATTCTTGGAATCAAGTTGAGTCAGTGACAAATAATCCTGCGATACAGGGTCTTGATGGTGCTTTTTGATTTCATGTCAGACTCGTAGGGTGGAATTTGGTTGTTTGAACSTGTAAAGTGAAGTGAGGGGGAAGAATGGAGGTGTAAAACAGATTTGCAGACATAAGGGAGGACATAATTTGACCAAATAAARCAAAACCAAAATACAATAATTTAATTAACTGCAAAGACTAATACTTTCATTGAATTAATTCAGTAATTGTTGCTGTGTCCCAGTCCCTGGCACCAGCTGTAAAGAACAAAAAGGTGCCCCTGTACATTRTGAATCCCAGCTTGCAGATTATACTGGGCCTGTTTGCGAGCAGCCAAGTGTTCTGACTTGAAAGGCTCCACCTGCACTCAGTAATAAGGCTCATTCCACCTCGTTCTTCTCTTACCTCATGCTTATAAGTGTTCATATTGCATCAGTTTTTTTAAATG